AGTTAGCAAGAAAGAAATACCGGACTACAAATGGACAGATGAGGGAACTTTGAAGCTGGCCGAATTTGTTAAGCAGCACCCCCCAGCTGTTCGACAAGAAGCAGAAGGATTGGCTGAACGTCACTGCAAAGACCCAATTATGGACATCGAAATGATGTAGCACAGGCTTGTCATCGTTAGGGAGTGGGTCGGATCCAGGCAGTCCGGCTCGGTTGTCCTCGACAGCTTTGTGCAAAGTACAGTTCTTCCATGTTCCTCCATCTGAAGCACCACCCTCTGCCCCAACTTCAACAAACAAGAACTTGTATCTAGCATCTACATGGGCCATCAGCACAATGTTCTGGAAGCCCTTATAATTGTAGTAGAATGATCCTGCTTTGGGTGGCTTCTTTCTATGTAAGGAATTAACTCCGAAGACTCGCCAATATTCGCGCGGCTGGTTGCGTCCGAGGCCGTTAGGCCGAGGACCCACCCACCGCGCGAATATTGGCGAGTCTGAGAAGTTTATTGCCCTTAAACCTAAAATCATACATATTGGCGCCCTAGTTTCATAACTCTTGCACCCGAACACAGCAATATTAATATTGGCGTCCTACATCTGGGTAGCACGGTATGCACAATACACACGCTATGAACACGCTCTACTGTGCACGTGGCAGCGTATTGGAGGGATACAAAACAAACGAAATATTTTACTGCATCCACTTCACCAGATGTTTTCAACCATGTCAGGCGAATGGGGTTCTTTATGCTATGTCTTTGTCACTGAAAATTAATACATTTTCCGAAGCTTTTGAAAGGAAGTATTTCGAGTGTCAATTTTGATATCACTCTACAAGGGGACAAAAATCATGTAGATACAGTTGGGAATAGTTCTTCGGATGAGGAATTGCTGCGTGAGTCGCAAAACTTAGAACGGGAATTTGACCAAATGAATAGTTCACCAGATGATGAACTGATGCTTGCTTCTCAGCAGATAGAAAAAGAAAGTGAACAAACAACTACCAAACGTTTTGGCAACCCTCTCTCAGTTTCTGAATATCAAAGCTTGGAAAATCTCGCAAAAATATAAAAATACAGAAAAGATTCCTGACAACGTGAAAGAGATGGGTTTGAATCCCAGTTAGGGAGCAAATTATTAAGTATTTCTGATGAAGATCTGAATAGGACGCTGAGTCTGTTTGTCACAGCAGTAAGGAACCAAAGGAGTGAGTGAGTTTAGTTTTACGCCGCACTCAGCAATATTCCAGCTATATGGCGGCGGTCTGTAAATAATCGAGTCTGGACCTGACAATCCAGTGATCTACGGCATGAGCATCGATCTGCGCAATTGGAAACCGATGACGTGTCAACCAAGTCAGCGAGCCTGACCACCCCGATCCCATTAGTCGTCTCTTACGACAAGCATGGGTTACTGAAGGCCAATATTCTAACCCGGACCTTCACGGGGAAGGAACCAAAGGGGAGGTCAATACAAGGGCAAAATAATTCATGAGATTCTTTTTTCGATGCAGAGATTCTTGCGCCAAAGTGGTCTAGATGTTAACCTAACCACCGATTTTCTTTTAGGGGTTTAAGAACCAGTTTAGACGCTAAAATGTAATCACTCGCACGGGCTGGTTTTGGCATGCATAGAAGACTAGGCAAGCTAGCGTCATCACACCACAGGAGGAGGATGCATTGTGGGAGTCGGGTTTGCTTGGGGATGACAACCCGGAAAAATTGCTTGAAACCGCTTTATATTTGAATGGGCCGTTGTCCATATAGACTTGACCAAAAGTACATGTCATTGAGGTGAGTGAATAATATGGTGATTACATAAAAAATTTAAATTTAAAAAAAAAATGAAATTCATATCGTTTTAAAAAGATAGTTTGTTTAGAGTTGAGTTGAGTTGGGCTTTACGTCACATCGGCATTATTCCAGCCATATAGTGACGAGAACAAGTCTGCATTAATAAACATTGTAAGTACAGAATCAAAATGGGTTTTATTTCAAAAACATATATTCATTAAAAAAACATGACGACGGCTACAGTGCAGCTTGTATGCAATGTATGTACAACTTGACTGCAGGCTAGTGGGTTGTGCCTAAGGCACTTTAAACCAGTACCTCACCGCCCATGGACGTTATTAATAAGTGAGGTAGCCTACTGGTTATAGTGCCTGCGGCACAATGTGTCAAGCCCATGCGTTGTGTCCTCCCATGTAATAAATGGATGAAAACATTGAGTTTGTTTCTGTATATCAGTAATGGGGATTTTACTGTTTGGATTCAGCGTTAGGACAGGGTCAGCAATAGGGCGTCAGTATTTGAAAGTAGGGCGCCAATACACGCGATAAAGTCGCAAATATACGAAGCTAGGTCGCCAATAAACGAAAGAAACGGGCTTCCCATTCCATCCTTATTGGAGGGATATGTCGTGTAATAGAGGCAATTTTAGGTTTAAAGCAAGGCGCTTGCCGTCCACAGCCCCCAGACAGTTATGGTAAATCCATCTGGAACTAAAACCTTCAGCAACCTCCTTCCTCTCCTCTTCAGTTAGGGGGCACCTGGTACTTCGTCCTTGTAGACCTCAATGATGGCTTTGCAGACCTCTGGTAGGAACTTTCCGATTGTAGTAGCTTCAAGTCTGAAGCTGTACTGTAGACTTGCATAGGAATTACCAGTGGCTGGGAAGCGAGGAGTGGTTGCCAGCTTGAGTCTCAGCGGTTCTCTCATGAATGTGGTCTTCTTCTCAAGATTAGGGGTTAACTTCTCCACCATGTCTTGGAAAATGGGGGAATTCTCAGGTAATTTCTGTAGCCCCTTGGATGGAGTTCGGTCAATAACTGATCATAATGTCCGAAGTGATGTCTTCTAGTCAACCATTTCCTCACCCACACTGTCCTTGCTTTCCTTTTTCTAGTTGGGATCTTCTTCTTCTTTGGCCTGCTCTTGCTGCATTTGGTGGTCTTCAAGAAGTAATAGAGCTTCACCTGCGAGATATAGACACCTTTTCTATTCTGCAATTAGAGCTTGTTCTCTGGTGTTCAACATCTTGTAGGTCCACAACAAAGCATGAATCTGGGGTGATGCCTGCTATTTATATAGCGTGCGATAGCGTGCCAAAGCGTGATAATGCGCTCCATTTTTGATCACGCATTGCGTGCCAAGTGCGTAACTTATGCGTAAACAGGACGTGAACAGTTTCTAAATTACACGCATTGCCACGACGAATTGCGCGGCGGTGCAGGGTCAAAATTCGTGCAAGTGTCGATGGCTTAAGCATGTTTGTGGTGTCCCCCCACTGTGATATTGTTTACATATTGCTAAAAGCGGAGAAATACAACTCACTCACTTTCTCCTACAATACCAGGGGCGGATACAGCTTTTTGAGAAAGAGGGTCAGCACGCATCATTTTTGCGAGAGTTTCAGTAGTCATTTAATAAACCTTTAGGACAAAAGGGCGGGTGCGCACCCCTGCACACACCCTTCTCGAATCCGCCTATGAATATGTGTTATTTGGCTGGTTTTTGATATACATTATACAGGACATTTATCAGTTATAGATATTGATATTGTCCATTGTGGGTTGCAACGACCACTTGAAGCATCAGTAACCAGACTTATATTTTACGCGCGCAATGTCGTCAAGCGTTGGCACGTTATTGATTGAAGTGGGTGTAAAATCTCTCATGTTATTTGTCGGACGCAGGGGCGTGGGAACGGTTTTCAGAGAGTGTGTGAGGAAAGAGGGTTTTTTGTGTGCTAATTTATAAAAAAGTATTGAAAATCAAATGAAATTGTAGTTATGGTAAGGTAGATATGGTTTCGTCTTGACGAGGAATATCTATTTTATCTAAGGCGCCAGGCTAGTGATCCAGCGAGGTTGAGGTGTCGGGATCGAGCCCACCTGTGACCAGGTGTAAAAACCTTGGAGTCAACTTTGTGTGCAGACTCTTTCAGTGTTGTCACAACCCCTAGTGTACAGTACACAACCCTGTGCACTTAAAAGAACCCACGAATCCGTTGGTATTTGACCAGATGGTGGCCACATGAATACGTGCAAACACCTAGTTGCGGGTACAGCAACGTGCAGTGAACATGGACAAAGTACTGTGACTATGTGTCCCAGTCCACCCAGCTGTGAATGAGTACCTCGTTAGGATGAGAAAGCCACAATAACTCGGTGCGCCTAGTGGCTGCAAGAGTTGTATACTCCCCAGGGAGTTGAGATTGATAATGCGATGTGCCGTTGAGATTGACATCCAATGATCGAGGGAAAAATACCAGCGCCTTGAGCATGCACTAGTGCGTGGATATGTGCGCTATATAAATATCCTATAATAATAATAATAATAATAATAATAATAATAATACTACTTTTGACAGGAATGTGATTGACAAGATTAAGGAAAAGCATGATAAATATGCGGACCTCGCCTTTGAAATGTCTCGCTTGCATCCTAAGTACACTGTCGTCAGGCTCCCCATTGTTCTCGGTGCCCTTGGTTTGGTACTTCCTGATCTCTTGGCGCAGATCAGGAGAGTGCCCGGGTTCTCCACCGGGAGCAGCTCTTCTGACACTCTGGGTAATGCAGAAGGCTGCAGTGTTGGGGAGCCTTCATATTCTCGGAAAGTTCTTGGTGGGTTCGACTAGGCAGCGTTTCCTGGGGAGAAGTCCCATTCGCTATCTGGGCTGCGTGTAGAGGGGGGCCCTGAGCTGATGATGAGCCTTACCAGCCTGACTGTGCCAGGATCACCCGAACCCTCTCTGCTGCATACAATCTTTAATCTGTAAAACATAATAATAATAATAATGATAAAATTTTAGTCAAGATCACGTCACATATTTCCGTATTGAACAAAAGAGTTAGGGATCTTGAATATTTTGGGGTATCTTTTTGAATTGGAGAAATGTGCTTGTGGCGACACTATTTTGTTTTGAATGGGTGGTATGACCGCTCGAATCTCACGTTTTGCACGTGCAGATTGTATGAGCGCATGAGCTTTGGAGCGAATACGCAGACGACAACTTGCAGCACACTTGTGGATGGACGGTGGGATTCCAAGAGGTCAAGTTACAGGTTTGTTTGATTTAGTTTGGAAATCAGTAGGTTAATTGGTGGGTTATTGGTTCGAGACTAAAATAGTTGAGCAGGTTCTCAGTTCCCGATGAGGTAACGTAAAGATCGGGGAGACCGTGTCACTGCTGTGACATTCGTTACCACTCGAGTCATTCCGGCACACGCCGTCTTTCACGATCTGAAAATAGATCTCTGAGGTCACGTGAAACTATTGTAAACTAGGCCGACCTCACGAGCACATGGTCGTCACGTGATTCGCGCTTGCAATCGACAGTCGTTTTTCCCCCTTTAACCTATATGGGATAAAAACATCAACAAATAATGTTAAATTATTGAACTTTTCATTTTGATATTTCTGAACAAGGCATGTGGACCAGAAAGGATACTGACCAAGTTTACCAGAATGTAGGCTACCCATATTTTGTATAAGTTAGAGGACTCGTACCCATGTACTACACTGCATGCATGTCTCTAAATTTAGTGTATCTAAACATTACTAATCTTTGCACCATTATAGTTAGTAAAATCCAAAGTAATAACTACATCTTATAATTCACATTGACCTTGAAACAAATATACCCAATACAGCCCATTCAAGTCAAGAATGTGTGGCAAGTCTAGATTTCCCAACTGTCAATAGCATGTCAGTGATGGGTGATAAGAATCATTGTTTTGTTGAAATTCCAAGCAATTATATATAAATATATATATATATCTCACGACTTATACGAAACGAGTGTGGAATTGTGTATTGCCGGAGCGAGAGCGAGGTCAATCCACAATTTTGCACGAGTTTCGTATAAGTCGTATGACACTGCGAGTGTAATAATTTCTTTATTATCCATCTTATTCATGAACATTTGTGCAGTAAAATACGGTAAGCAAGTGTGCCTGCCCTGTTCATTGACGTCACGTTGAATTGTTTAAGTGACGTCACAGACGACGAAATAGAGAAACAATGGTTGCTAGGCAAAAGTGGTATGACACTGGTTATGTTTCACCATATGGATAATAATGAGTAATAATGCACTAAAGTAAGAGGTTGCCGTAATGATTTCCATAGAGACTAAATTTGAAATGAAAACAAATGAAATGGTTTCAGCAGCCGTTGGAATGACTCTCGGTATGGTTGTGTCAACTGAACCTCCTAGATCTGTTCATACAGAAGAATTTCGTGAAATACGCCCAAGAAAGACTCGACGGTCACCTGCTGCAGGTCGGGGTATTGTACACTTTGATTTCGTGCAAGTAGCTTCTTCGCTGGTCAAACCCTAAACAACCCGAAGCGAGTGCACTGGACCTACAACAGTTCGACATCCCATTCGTGACCAACTCGTGTTATTCCGGGACAAGCCGTCTTCTTGGAGGTTACGGAAAGGGGCGAGTGTTGACGAATGTTCGACATCCGTGAAGATCCGGGTTCTTCAGCAACCCTTGCTTAACGTTAGAGGCGACTAACGGAACAGGTGGTCCGGCTCGCCTACTTGGTTGGCACATGTCATCGTATCCCAATTGCATATATCGATGCTCATGCTGCAGATCACTGGATTGACTGGTCCAGACTCGATTTTCTAAAGACCGACGCCATTTAGTAGGAATGCTAATGCTTGGGGCATTTACAACACTCAAAACAAATTGTACACAGAAATATAACCGAAGCGTCATAAAATCAGTATCTCTCCGGTTACGAAGTTTACCCGGAAATGTAATGAACACGGGGAAGGTATTTTGCATCCATCCTGGTTCCTGGGCCTCTCATTAGTTTATATAGAGGCCCTCTATATAAACTAATGAGAGGCCCGGGAACCAGGATGTTTTGCATCCACAATTAAGGAGGAAATACATTGATCAGCCTCAAGTGAACGTAGTCAGAGTCCCTAACTTGTAATCGGTCTTATGTATTGCGATATAATATTTGTAAATCGATGTTTCGTGTCGCGAGCCTCGAATCGTGATACAGTGCTGTTACACGACAAGCGTCTTTCCTTGTGTAGGATCGTCCCTGGACTATTGCTTAGTCTCTGAATCTACATAATTTTGATATAAACAAAAAATTCCATATAAATCGGAAAGGACACCAATGAAATGGGAGATTCAGAACCTGGGGAAATCAAGACTAATGAGATGACTGAACAAAACTCGTTTGTTTTGTAAAAAAATGAAACCTTCATAAACAACTACACGGTTAGAACAATGTGATTAGTAATTCACCCTTGGTTATAACACATAGGTTATCATGCGATATAACACTATACGAGGCTGACATTGTAATTAGTAATTCATTCTTGGTTATAACACATTGGTTATCATTCGATATAACACTATACGAGGCTGACATTGTGATTAGTAATTCATCCTTGGTTATAACACATAGGTTATCACGCGATATAACACTATACGAGGCTGACATTGTGATTAGTAATTCATCCTTGGTTATAACACATTGGTTATCATGTGATGTAACACTGTACGAGGCTGACGTGATTAGTAATTCATTCTTGGTTATAACACATAGGTTATCACGCGATATAACACTAAACGAGGCTGACATTGTGATTAGTAATTCATTCTTGGTTATAACACATTGGTTATCATGCGATATAACACTAAACGAGGCTGACATTGTGATTAGTAATTCATCCTTGGTTATAACACATTGGTTATCATGCGATATAACACTATACGAGGCTGACATTGTGATTAGTAATTCATCCTTGGTTATAACACATTGGTTATCATGCGATATAACACTATACGAGGCTGACATTGTGATTAGTAATTCATCCTTGGTTATAACACATTGGTTATCATGATATAACACTATTACGAGGCTGACATTGTGATTAGTAATTCATCCTTGGTTATAACACATAGGTTATCACGCGATATAACACTAAACGAGGCTGACATTGTGATTAGTAATTCATCCTTGGTTATAACACATTGGTTATCATGCGATATAACACTATACGAGGCTGACATTGTGATTAGTAATTCATCCTTGGTTATAACACATAGGTTATCACGCGATATAACACTAAACGAGGCTGACATTGTGATTAGTAATTCATTCTTGGTTATAACACATTGGTTATCATGCGATATAACACTATACGAGGCTGACATTGTGATTAGTAATTCATCCTTGGTTATAACACATAGGTTATCACGCGATATAACACTATACGAGGCTGACATTGTGATTAGTAATTCATCCTTGGTTATAACACATTGGTTATCATTCGATATAACACTATACGAGGCTGACATTGTGATTAGTAATTCATCCTTGGTTATAACACATAGGTTATCATGTGATGTAACACTGTACGAGGCTGACATTGTGATTAGTAATTCATTCTTGGTTATAACACATTGGTTATCATGCGATATAACACTATACGAGGCTGACATTGTGATTAGTAATTCATCCGTGGTTATAACACATTGGTTATCACGCGATATAACACTAAACGAGGCTGACATTGTGATTAGTAATTCATTCTTGGTTATAACACATTGGTTATCATGCGATATAACACTATACGAGGCTGACATTGTGATTAGTAATTCATCCTTGGTTATAACACATAGGTTATCACGCGATATAACACTATACGAGGCTGACATTGTGATTAGTAATTCATCCTTGGTTATAACACATTGGTTATCATGCGATATAACACTATACGAGGCTGACATTGTGATTAGTAATTCATCCTTGGTTATAACACATTGGTTATCATGCGATATAACACTAAACGAGGCTGACATTGTGATTAGTAATTCATCCTTGGTTATAACACACTGGTTATCATGCGATATAACACTATACGAGGCTGACATTGTGATTAGTAATTCATCCTTGGTTATAACACGCTGGCCATCATGCGATATAACACTATACCAGGCTGACTGAGTTTGGTTTTACGCCGCTTTTAGCAATATTCCAGCAATATCACGGCGGGGGACACCAGAAATGGGCTTCACTCATGTGGGGATTCGAACCCGGGTCTTCGGCGTGACGAGCCAACGCTTTAACCACTAGGCAACCCCACCGCCCCTAACACTATACGAGGTTGACATTGTGATTAGTTATTTTCTGGCAGGCGTTTGACTGGTATATTGCTAAGGGTGGAAAACAGCAGGCAAACGTAGTCTGTCTCAGTCCCTGAACCCCATTATTTCCCCTACTGCCTAGCCCTCCCTGCAATGTAGTCTGTCTCACAGTTCCTGAACCCCATTATTTCCCCTACTGCCTAGCCCTCCCTGCAATGTAGTCTGTCTCTCACAGTCCCTGAACCACATTATTTCCCCTACTGCCTAGCCCTCCCTGCAATGTAGTCTGTCTCACAGTCCCAGAACCACATTATTTCCCCTACTGCCTAGCCCTCCGTGCAATGTAGTCTGTCTCCATCCCTGAACCACATTATTTCCCCTACTGCCTAGCCCTCCCTGCAATGTAGTCTGTCTCAGTCCCTGAACCACATTATTTCCCCTACTGCCTAGCCCTCCCTGCAATGTAGTCTGTCTCAGTCCCTGGACCACATTATTTCCCCCCTACTGCCTAGCCCTCCCTGCAATGTAGTCTGTCTCAGTCCCTGAACCACATTATTTCCCCTACTGCCTAGCCCTCCCTGCAATGTAGTCTGTCTCAGTCCCTGAACCACATTATTTCCCCTACTGCCTAGCCCTCCCTGCAATGTAGTCTGTCTCAGTCCCTGAACCACATTATTTCCCCTACTGCCTAGCCCTCCCTGCAATGTAGTCTGTCTCACAGTCCCTGAACCCCATTATTTCCCCTACTGCCTAGCCCTCCCTGCAATGTAGTCTGTCTCACAGTCCCTGAACCACATTATTTCCCCTACTGCCTAGCCCTCCCAGCAATGTAGTGTGTCTCACAGTCCCAGAACCACATTATTTCCCCTACTGCCTAGCCCTCCGTGCAATGTAGTCTGTCTCCATCCCTGAACCACATTATTTCCCCTACTGCCTAGCCCTCCCTGCAATGTAGTCTGTCTCAGTCCCTGAACCACATTATTTCCCCTACTGCCTAGCCCTCCCTGCAATGTAGTCTGTCTCAGTCCCTGGACCACATTATTTCCCCCTACTGCCTAGCCCTCCCTGCAATGTAGTCTGTCTCAGTCCCTGAACCACATTATTTCCCCCCCACTACTGCCTAGCCCTCCCTGCAATGTAGTCTGTCTCAGTCCCTGAACCACATTATTTCCCCTACTGCCTAGCCCTCCCTGCAATGTAGTCTGTCTCAGTCCCTGGACCACATTATTTCCCCTACTGCCTAGCCCTCCCTGCAATGTAGTCTGTCTCAGTCCCTGAACCACATTATTTCCCCTACTGCCTAGCCCTCCCTGCAATGTAGTCTGTCTCAGTCCCTGAACCACATTATTTCCCCTACTGCCTAGCCCTCCCTGCAATGTAGTCTGTCTCAGTCCCTGGACCACATTATTTCCCCTACTGCCTAGCCCTCCCTGCAATGTAGTCTGTCTCAGTCCCTGAACCACATTATTTCCCCTACTGCCTAGCCCTCCCTGCAATGTGTAGTCTGTCTCAGTCCCTGAACCACATTATTTCCCCTACTGCCTAGCCCTCTCCTGCAATGTAGTCTGTCTCAGTCCCTGAACCACATTATTTCCCCTACTGCCTAGCCCTCCCTGCAATGTAGTCTGTCTCAGTCCCTGGACCACATTATTTCCCCTACTGCCTAGCCCTCCCTGCAATGTAGTCTGTCTCAGTCCCTGAACCACATTATTTCCCCTACTGCCTAGCCCTCCCTGCAATGTAGTCTGTCTCAGTCCCTGAACCACATTATTTCCCCTACTGCCTAGCCCTCCCTGCAATGTAGTCTGTCTCAGTCCCTGAACCACATTATTTCCCCTACTGCCTAGCCCTCCCTGCAATGTAGTCTGTCTCAGTCCCTGGACCACATTATTTCCCCTACTGCCTAGCCCTCCCTGCAATGCTAAAGCCGTAAAGGAAGCAAGTCTAGATTTCCTCAGGTTCTGAATCTCCCAACTCACTATGGCCCCTTTTCAATTTAAATGGGTTTATTTGTTACTATCAAAGTTATATATATTCATGGACTAAACGTTAGTCTACAGGCAAACGCTAATGTTATCGTCTAGGCATAGAATGAAAACAGGCATGAAATCTTTTACAATGGTTTCCCTTTAAGAAAGACAATAAATACATGTTTCAGTAATCATCGTCGTCGTATATTTAAACTAACCAGGGCTACTTAATCTATAAAGATTGTTATATTTCAAGGGCGGTGGGGTAGCCTAGTGGTTAAAGCGTTGGCTCGTCACGCCGAAGACCCGTGTTCGATTCCCCACATGGGCACAATGTGTTAAGCCCATTTCTGGTGTCCCCCGCCGTGATATTGCTGGAATATTGCTAAAAGCGGCGTAAAACTAAACTCAGTCAGTCAGTCAGTGTTATATTTCAAAGCATATTGTGACAAAATCCAGCAAAGTCAAGCCGTGCATACGAGAACAGCTGTCCTCGTGGGCTGGCTTTTGACAACTGGGCGTCTACATACTTTCAAATAACACCCAAACCTTTTCCTTTTCGTGCAAATCTTTCAAAAAACATTCTCTTGTTCCTGCTAAAAGAAGGACATGTAACAATGTCATGATAAGCTTTGCTCGCTGGTCATTGTCCGAGTGGCTTCGGGAACGGTAAAACACAATTCAAGCGATAATTATCAGCGTTCTTTTCATTCGTATTATACTAATAATACACTTTATTAACTATTTCCGTTAATTTCTATTCATTAAGGTGGGAACTACAAATAGTATCAGTGGTTTTGTTATCATTGTATATCAGCTGGTTTCATAAATAAATATGTGGTTTGGAGACCGCCCCCAAATGACCAGAGTGGACAGCTGTTTGAGGGGCAATGTCGTATTTACGAGATAGGACAACGTTTCCGGATGATGGAGGCGTTGGAGACGCATCATGTGACTGTTGTCGATAGAAGGAAAGTCGGACGTGACCTCCGAACGCAAACGTGGTCTTACTACAAGGAAAACTTCTAACTCCTATTCTTTTCTTTGAGGGTGTTGAAAAAAATCGAGCACCTGTTAAATCGTTTAGAGTTTAACCTGAGAGCGGATTCCTTGTCATCTGCTTGTTTGCTAAACCTTTGTTTGTTTTCGGTTTTGAACAAGTTAAAAACAACTAGAGGGTTTTATTCAAAATTACCTTTAATCTTCTTAGAACGCCTGTTTAAGACTTCGTAAAATTAATTATAGGTGGGCGTGAGTCAGTTTATTCTTTTTAGAATACTAAAAGCCGATCTTCCGCCATGTTCCATTTGGCTTTTAAATTCCAAAAGCTTAGTTTTCGTATTTATGTAAATTTTCTTCCTGTAATTCCATGTTTTTGGGAAATCACAAAAACATTTCGGGTTCTATACTCTTACATAGTTTCATGTTTTCATTGTACGTAATTTCTATTTGGTGATGCTTTTCCCTCAGGCTTGGTCTAAATTATTTTTGAAAACTTGCGTAAAATGTGACTTTATCTGTTACTCATTTTTGGGACATTAAAACCACTAAGGTGTTATATGGAATATTTGTTTCTAAACATACCAGGTCCATATGCTTGTATGAAAATGAAGCACCCGAACTATACCCCAATAAAGCGGAGGGTGGGATCATGGCTCACTTGCAGGGTGCGACACCTCCGCACATCACTATCACTTACCCTGGCTAAAACACAAACATCGCCCTCTCCGCCCATCCTCCCTGCTCTCTCCACACACGCACGCACGCGCGTATATACGTACACGACTACATCAACATTTGTACCCAATCCCACAACATGCACGCATGCTAATGTACATGAGAGAACTGCACTAATAAGTACATACATGTATACCCACAAAACAACAGCATCCTCCTCCCCTCCCTACACACACAAAAAACACACATACACGTGTGCAGGCTCATACAACTGCAGTACCCACAAATTACCTCCGTGGTCTCGCAGATAGAGCGTCACCTCTTAAAATCCGTGTACTTATTGTTCCCCAGCCAGGTGCTCTGCGTTAATTGGGGGCGGTTGGGTGTGTGTGTGTGTGTTAGCAGGTCTACTCCCATTTGAGAGAACTCCCAGTTGTGAGACTCCCAGTTGTGAGACAGTGGAGTAGGTAAGTAGCAAAGAAAACACACCTTACTCCCCTATCTGATGGAATGGATTACCCCAGCTAATTAGGGATTAGCCATTTAACTGAATCTTGTGGAGGTAGCTTAAAAGATAAAGTAATTAACCTACTCAGGTAAATGGCTTTAAAAAATAAACACTTTGTGGAGGTAACTTCGTGATCAATATGAAAAGTGTCAAAATCTCCAAATATGGACCCGTGTAAAAAAGTGTTTTATAATGACACACAAATATCATAATAACGCAAATCATCAAAATGTCTTAATTAACTCATTAATGAACTATGCCTCCTGTGGGTACTCTTCAGCAACCGGGCTGTTCCCACTTTCATCGTAGGGATGGGGAAGCACCACCTGTGTGCACTGAACCATTAATTAATGTGTCTCACAACTGGGAGTTCTCACAAATGGGAGGACACCTGTTAGCCTAGTGGTTAAAGCGTTGGCTCGTCACGCCGAAGACCCGGGTTCGATTCCCCACATGGGTACAATGTGTGAAGCCCATTTCTGGTTTCCCCCCGCCGGGATATTGCTGGAATATTGCTAAAAGCGGCCTAAAACTAAACTCATTCACTGTATTAATTGGGATTACACAAGGACTAGTCGGCTCGGAGTCAGAATACTGTGTCTAACTGCGTAGCCACGTTCAACTGCGGTATTCTATAACCCAGGGTGGCACAATAAAACAACTTATTACTCACCCGTGGAAGATATCACTGTTTAATAAATCTACAATGTTATTACACATTGTGTAATAACATCGCGTGCTGCCGGAACTGTTTGCACTCGGTCACATGACCCAGTTGTGCGGGCGTAATGCATTCGTTGAATTCTTAGAAAAGAAGTTTCAAGTGCTCTTTGCTCGGTTATGTGTAATAGAATTTATATAAAAAAATAATGTGTTGGTTGAAGTCATTTGGTCCCCTTTTCATACCCCTTGTTTAGTTTTTAAAATAAAATTAAATAGACTAATGCTGACAATCATAAATGAAATGTATTCATACGCGTGACCCATGTAATGCACTCGTTCTGTATGTTGAATTTGATATTATTTTGCCAATGTTGGGTTGAATAATAAATATAATACTAAACGATACCCCGTGTAATACCCGTATTTAGTTACATACCAAACCATTCGCTCGTTTCATAAATATGGTATTACACGGGACATCGTTTAGTATTCTCTATATAGAAGGTATGCATATCGCTATAAAAGTGCAGCAATATTGAATGTGACGTTAAACCTATTTGACCTTACTTGCTATCACACACACCTGCTTTTATATACTTCAAAGAAGAAAACATCTTTTATATGGCTAATTTCATATTGTTACTTTTATCATATATGTCACTTCTATGTAATAGTCTCTCATAACCCTTAAAGGGTGGCTCATGTTATGTATATTTGTGTATATATCTATACTTTTGTCTGTCTGTCCGTCACAAACACTGTCCGTATTTATTATGTAGCGTATTCAGGTTCATTGACTGCGAAATCTGCTACCTTAAAGTCAGCTGCACATGTACCGGTTTTTCTGGGCAGTTACATACACTTATAAGTAACTTTTATATATACTTATACATAGTGTATCATACAGGACAAAATTTACGCATTGCCTTATTTATGTCGTGGCCTTTTTATCTTTTTAAAATCATAAGTCAAGACGTGGAAGAAAAAATAATTTTGCGATATTTAGAAACATAAAGGCGACTAGCGTATGATGAAAGCTATGTAGGGACTGCCAAGGTCATCGGTATGTATACAGATATATAGCAGCTATACATTGTTATACAACTAGCATTTGGCGGTGATCTAATGCGCCATGTCAAACCAGAAGCGTTAGCTACGACCCGCAACGTTACGGCACGACGTCGTGGGCAGGAGCGATGGGGTCAACTGGCCGAAATCGGAGCGACCCTTAAGTGACCGTACATCAAATCCTTCTCGTAGATCTTTGTGACGTCTGGTGTCGTTCTCCGTATCCACAATAATGTTACAAGGTGTCAGACGTAGGCGTCACGGAGACGAAGGTGCTGGTTCAACGTATATGTGCAGTAACTCGACAACTGTTGCAAACTGCCCGCGCACATTAGAGCCGAAACTAGGAAGAAAAATTGAATTATTAATTTTAGCTGTACAAATAGCCAAAAATACTTCATTCCTTTCAAAATAATAACAAGACACATTTAGCTTACGAATGTTTATAATACGTTCAGACGAATGAAATATTTTTGGGCTTTTTTATGCTGTTTAAATGATGAACACTGTTTCATTCCAAATTTAGCGGAAAGATGAATTTTAACATTTTTCAAGCAGAAACATATGCGAAGTGTCAAAATATGACACGGCAGAGCATAACGCACGTGTATCAATGTCATGTGTCGACATTTCTTTTTTGAGAGGCATTTTAGAAGTTGTAAAGGAAATCCAAGTTTTATGGATAGTCAACTTCTATATTGCAATGAATTTCCTTCATGTGTCGATATCTTTAAAAACATTTCCATTATTTTTTAAAAACGACCGTTCAAGCTGATAATGACTGACTTAAATATAGTTTTTCACATATTTACTTTTTCCTTACACGGGATGCATCTCTACGCTATTTGTACAAACGGAGATGTTCGTGCGAGAATGTTGTTTGAAAACGTTTTTGGAGCGGATTATGCCCGTCCACGCGGTGCGAATGGTTTCTGAAAAAAGATGTGTTTTAGTGATGTCGTCCCATAAGCTGTGTGGTGTTTGTGTCCTGTGCGCATTTTGCACGAAACTTGTTGACAGCAGGGTCTTACACTTCGTCGATCATCCGGGGTTTCGTTAGTGACGTCACCATCTCACCAATCACTAACATAGCTCAGTGTTCCCTTCGCTCATGGGTGTTATCTGATTGGGCGCTTCTTTAGCCGTCTTCACGATACGGTTGGTTCAGGGTTTGGGACGACGACAACAAATCGCTCCAGAATACTTGTAATACTGACTAACAGACTGAGTTTGGTTTTATGCCGCTTTTAGCAATATTGCAGCAACATCACGGCGGGGGACACCAGAAATGGGCTTCACACATTGTACCCATGTGGGGATTCGAACCCGGGTCTTCGGCGTGACGAGCCAACGCTTTAACCATTAACGTACGAGTAACCATGAGTGAGTGAGTGAGTTTAGTTTTACGCCGCACTCAGCAATATTCCAGCTATATGGCGGTGGTCTGTAAATAATCGAGTCTGGACCAGACAATCCAGTGATCAGCAGCATGAGCATCGATCTGCGCAATTGGGAACCAATGGCATGTGTCAACCAAGCCAGCGAGTCTGACCACCCGATCCCGTTAGTCGCCTCTTACGACAAGCATGGGTGACTGAAGGTTCATTCTAACCTGGACCTTCACGGGTACTTGTAAGTATGAGGGTTAAAGAGTGAGTGAGGTTGTGTATGTGAGGGTGGGTAGTTGTTTTATGAGGGAGTATCCAATATAGTTTTTGCAAGCTCACGGCCACCGCATGTGCGTGTCTGTTCAACTCTAATCCTCACACAATTCAAAGACATTGACACTGGGTGTTTTCATATCGCAGTTTCGTTGGTTGTTTTTCTCTCGAAAGGGAAGTCCTACAATAGGAATCTGTTTTGAAGATTAAATTCAAGCACGGATGAGTACGATGATTGTTGATAGCTTTACAACGCGTGAGACAGTGCGCCTCGACAGCCAGACTCTGACTCAGCCATAATGTGACCGGAGAAGACACTGTAATGTGCGTAATGGCTGTAATATTTCTTAGGGGTCAGGGCAGAAGGTCATCCTGAAGAGGATGGGGCATTACGGCGGAGGATTAATCATAAAGCTCGAGTGAATGATGTTCAACAGATAATTTTCAGTTTCGTGAAATTCGGTCATGAATTATGGTACCCAATGTGAATCTCATTATCAGGTTTGGGTTCAATAAAATGTCGATCTCACTCTCAGGTTTACGTTTCACAAAATGTGAATATCACAATTATGTTTGGGTTTCACAAAATGTGAATCTATCAGTCAGATTTAAGTATCACAAACTTGGCTATCACAATCAGGTTCATGGATAATAAAATGTACATCTATTAGTCAGGTTAAGGTTAATAAACTGTGAATCTCACAGTCGTGTTAAGGTATCATAAAATGTACATCTATCAGTTGTGTTAAGGTATCATAAAATGTACATCTATCAGTTGTGTTAAGGTATCATAAACGTGAATCTATTAGTCAGGTTAAGGTATCATAACATGTGAATCTCGCAGTCGTGTTAAGGTATCATAAAATGTGAATCTCACAGTCGTGTTAAGGTATCATAAAATGTACATCTATCAGTCAGGTTAAGGTATCATAAAATGTGAATCTCACAGTCGTGTTAAGGTATCATAAACGTGAATCTATTAGTCAGGTTAAGGTATCATAACATGTGAATCTCACAGTCGTGTTAAGGTATCATAGAATGTGAATCTCACAGTCGTGTTAAGGTATCATAAAATGTACATCTATCAGTTGTGTTAAGGTATCATAAAATGTGAATCTATCAGTCGTGTTAAGGTATCATAAAATGTGAATCTATCAGTCAGGTTAAGGTATAACAAAATGTGAATCTCACAGTCGTGTTAAGGTATCATAAAATGTACATCTATCAGTCGTGTTAAGGTATCATAAAATGTACATCTATCAGTCAGGTTAAGGTATCAACAGGAACGATATTTTTTATGGATGGTACACCTATACTGCAATGGATGCGACGTTTCGGTGTAGATGCTAACACCGTTATCAAGCAATTGATGGTGGTCTTAGCGTGGATACCGAAACGCGACGTTTCTTAAAGGAGAAGTTGACTATCCATAAAAAAAAATCGTTCCTGTTCATCATAGTATCATACCAGCTTCTAAATGCCACTCAAGGAAGGTTAAGGTATCATAAAATGTGAATGTCACCAATTATGAATTTGTCAATCAGGTTAACGTACACCCGTATAAATTAATGCATTGCGCGGTAAACGAACCCTGTGCTATTGAATGGCAATGTAAACAGGTAGACGGAAAATAAGGAAAGCTTGTTCCCGCCTCCACCCGATCAAGTATGTATTAATCTCGGACAATGAACTGTGTACACATCATGTATCAGTTACCGCGGTCCTAGTTCACCGACAAAGGAAGAAACCAGCCCCACCTGCTTAAACAATTGTATCAATTAAAGCCAAATACATTGAACCTAATTACTTATGCAAACTAAAGGTCATTAGGTAAATGAGCATCTTTAACGTGTCACGTGACGGGCTCGGACTCGCTACAAACGTTACATCGCGACCCCAAGGTTGACCCTATCGACCCTCCTCGCGTGTTGTGCTACCACAATAGGCAGCAGTCGGTCGAGGTTAAGATGAGCAGATGGTAACTCAGCCGGCGTCGAGTGAAGACGACATTGAAGTTGTTTGTTTATCAGGGTTTGTTTACTCGGAGTTTGTAGGATTGTGTTTCTGCTGTTGCTCTAACAGATTACTTATATTTGTCCAAGTGTGTTCGTCAACGAGGCATTTTACCTATATTCTGTGTGTCACCCACGGAGACGCGTCTGTTAATTACAGAAGGAACGCCGGTACGATGGTGTCATGCCAATCAGGTACGTAACGGTTCTGGGGAATCACAAATCTGCAAAGCCTTTAACTTCATTAGTTACTAAACTGTATAATATTCTGTGCACTTTTTGATTAGTTGCCCTATGTTATTTTTATCATTACTTAATAACATCATCAGTATGTCTTCTTTGAGAGGCAGGTTAGTTCTATAGATATACACATTCTTTATTACGGTGTATGCTGCGTTTGGTTGTAGATGCTAACATCGTTATCAACGTTGCTTCATAACGGTGTTATATATAACAGCTACCCTTGTTCATCACACCGGATTTTAAACGCCTCTCACTGAAGTATGGTCATGGTTGTGTCTCGTAGTGCATTTAGGCGAATGCTATTTTCATCTAGCATTTTATTTTATCAACACTTGTCGATTTATGTAACATGTGCCACATTTCTAAAGTATTTCTCCCTTTTTACGGTAGTATATGACAGTGCATGGATCAGGCAATGATCAGAAGATGCAGATTGTTCGCAATGTCTTGGCTAGTTAAGTGTAGGCCCGTTTCGGGAACCAGTGCCTTACGTCTATACATACACAAGTACGTATCTGTTGAAGAATGCAAAGTATTGCGTTATCTCTATATTCATAGGGCGGTGGGGTAGCCTAGTGGTCAAAGCGTTGGCTCGTCACGCCGAAGACCCGGGTTCGAATCCCCACATGGGTACAATGTGTGAAGCCCATTTCTGGTGTCCCCCCGCCGTGATGTTGCTGGAATATTGCTAAAAGCGGCGTAAAACCAAACTCAGTCAGTCAGTCAGTCTATATTCATAAATCCGGGCATAATGCCACATAAACTATGCTTATTTGCGATAAAGATATTCACCCTTTATCAAGTGTGACGAAAACTACATCAAGATTGTTTTGGTCTTTTATACAAGAAACTTCTTCCGTGAGAGTCTTTATAGACATTACCAAGTTGGATGTAACGACGACGAGTATTGTCAAGGGTAACAACCTCTTTATTATACACACATAACGTTTGGTCACTTCTTGCCTGTAATCAGGCCAAAATAATTCTCCATGTGACTCATCATGTGTATTTGTAAGATAACAGAGGACTATTTAAATGAGAATATGAATAAAGTCCAAATAACGTTAAGAGAAGGGGTGGCTGAAACGTGTGCCGTGCGTTAGTTGTACTCTAATCAGTATCGGGCATAGACAGACGTGTATATAAGCTTGCAGTACGGTCAAGCAGTGTGTTGCCATCCATCTGTGATACTATTCTAAATAAGATGTATTCTAGCTTGGGCGGGTTTCTTAGATAAGGAAAGTCCATTTATACTATGTATCTACGTATTTATCTATTTATCTAGTCCGTATCTATCACCCCCATAGTGATCCCGGGTACAATTGATTCCCAGCAACCGTGCAAGTCGTAAGATCCGATCAAATGGATCATTAGATGACTGGGTTGATTGGTTGATCACCCGATGGCTTTAATTGTTGCTCTCAATATCGATCACTGGATTGTCAGGTCCAGACTTGAGTAGATACATTTGCCGTTATACAGCTGAAATAGTGGTCAGAGTGGCGTTGAAGATAAAAATCTACAGATCTGAGTGCTCGTAGTAGACTAGACTAATGCTTAGTCTCTGAATATATATAATTTTGATAGTAACAAACAAGCCCATTTAAATTGAAAAGGAGCCCCAGGGAGACCAGAGATTCAGAACCTGACTTGCTTTATTTAGGGCTTTAGCACTGCAGATAGGGCTTGGCAGTAGGGAAAATAATGTGGTTCAGGGACTGTGATACAGACTAGTAGTAGACTATCAGCAGAAAGAAATGAAAGTGACAGATGGAATACAACCTCAAACAACCTCCCACACTAAAAATATACAAAATGAAATAAAATAATAATGAAAACAACAACATAAAAAACATGAATTTGACGCAGTATTGAAGTCTGAACTACTGGCTTGCCTTTACATGTTGAGTGCGGTCATGGACAATGCACACATCCATACACAAAACACCGTTTGAAACGGGTACTTGGCCATTCTGGCTAATCTGAATCATTCATAAAGCCAGGGTTATTGAAAGCCTGAATTGACTCGCCTTCATAACAAGGCGTTTTCCCTACGTTTTCCCTTTCCGGGTTCGAATCCCCACATGGGCACACTGTGTAAAGCCCATTTATGGTGTCCCCCCGCCGTGATATTGCTTGAATATTGCTAAAAGCGGCGTAAAACCCAACTCACTCACTCACTCACCCACTACATACACATAACCACATATGCGAAATCTATCTGTCTGTCTCATATCGTAACTGTAAGTACACGCACATTTGAACCTATATTGACAAATGTGATGTCGATATCGGAATATTTTCAATTTAAGAAGCCCAGAAGTAGGTTGTTAACAAAGCCTGATACGCGCCATGGTACATGAAAGTAGTAAATATATGACCCCGAAGTTTTATTGCTGATTCAATAACTACCTTCAGCGATATAATTTCCTGATAGTGAATACAAGTTGAGAGCACTATACACTTACGATCTCTAGTTAATAATTCACATTTGTCGACATACTGTATGCCATGCGCCCTAAGGCATAACATATACGTCTAAGTAAAGAGCTCGGGCAAGTAATGGTATAGAAGCATAAAGAAATATTTGTCGTTGTGAACCCGTGTACCATGACTGGTGACCTTTGAAGGAATCTTTGTTTCCATTAAAGGTAGGAGTTATCGTCACGGGACATGGGTCTGTAATCGGTTGTTTATGTTGGAGAAGAAATATGGGTTAATTCGAGAAATGCATGAATATTACTCACTCTCCAAACTGAGTGAGTGAGTGAGTTATTATTTAACGTCACATCGGCAATATTTCAGCCATATCGTTCTCCAAACTGACGAAAGTGGGTTGTAGAGGTACGTAATTAGCGAAACACCTGTCGGAATGGTTGGTGTGGTTGTAGAGGTGTTGTAACTCGGCAGTCTCCACGTGAGGGCTATTGGTATATTTAATCGTGGTTCTAAAGTGTGATATAATGTGAAAGTGTTTGAAATTATTTTCTGAAGGTGTAAATTTGTTTTTTGTTACTCATTAATACCCGTTAATTTGAGAGTCAAATTGCTCTAATTTACAGGTGTTTTGACAAATTAGGGTTTATTGCTCATTGTTCTGAGCTCACTGGGGTCGGTGGGGTCTATTTCTGGTGTCCCTCGCCGTGATATTGCTGGAATATTACTAAAAAGGCGTAAACTTACTCATGTTAAGCTCACTGATACCTTTTGATGACCATGTGTATGCTGCGAGGGATAAAGTAAGGGAGAGAATCTGTGGGCGTCAACTGCTATATTACGAGAAACACATGGTGATGACTAAATAGTCTAAACTTACTTGATAAAAACTTCAAAGTTTACACATACATTTAAAAGACACCGAACGTTTAGATTTCCCTAAGATCTTATGAGCGCATTTCCAGAGAAAGCGAGCTCATTACTTCGAACGAAGGAGTCTTTATTTTATAATGCGATTTTATAGATTAACATCACCTTGTGTAAGATGTTTCACGTTGTTCTTGTCAGGCAGGGACCTTGCGCGACGATGATGTTGATATGTAATCTTACAACCTGGCCAATATGTAAACAGCTGACTTTGGAAAAATGTAATCTGCCGACCTCGCTAATATGGAATCTGCCAACCTTTCTATACTCACATATGCCTTTACTCATGATCATTACAACTGAATCAAACATAACAAAGATAAAGCATATCCACACACTTTTCCAACAAAGAAATCAAAATTCATTGAACAATAACTGACTTGCAAATCATCAAAAACAGTGTCACTGAAAAGCCGTGCAAAATGTGTTGCATCAGGGTATGAAAATGTCTGAAAACACTTTTACTGTCAGTTTTGAGCACTGATCCAAAGTTTAATAACGTGTATGGCCACCATTGACCTGAATACACGCTTCAAGACGTCTAGGCATTGACCAGATGAGTCTGTCTAGAGTCTGTTGTGGAATGTTCTGCCATTCTTCCGCAATGCCTGTTCAAGCTGATCCAGAGTCTGAGGACGAACGTGGAGGCCGTACACACGCCTTCCGAGGATGTCCCCAAGCATGTTCAATAGATTCAGGTCAGGAGACCTTGCAGGCCAGTCCATATGGGTGATGTTGTTGGTCTGAAGAACATCAGTGACAACTCTTGCTCGATGTGGACGGGCATTGTCATCCATGAAGATGAAGTTAGGACCTGCTTGCTGGAGCCCACGGAATGATCACAGGTGTGACAATTTCGTCTCGGTACCTCACACCTGTCATGGTACCTCGTCTGATGACCACAAGATCAGTTCGTCGTCCAACTTGGATTCCTGCCCAGATCATCAAACTCCCACCTCCATACTGATCATGTTCAGCAATCGTACAGTTGGCGTATCGTTCGTTACGGTTTCTCCACACACGAGCCCTACCATCATTGAAGTCCAGACAGAATCTTGACTCATCTGTGAAGAGAACATTACGCCAGCGATTGACTCTCCAGTTACGTCGTTGGTTAGCCCAATTCAGTCTCTGTTGACGATGGTGTGCAGGCAGTGGGATACGTTGCACTGGTCTTCGGACCTGAGACCTTCAGCATGGAGTCTGTTCTCACTGTCTGTGTGGAGATTCTGTTCCCAGCAACTCTCTGGAGGTCATTCTGGAGAGATCTGGCTGTGGTGAACCTGTTCCGCCGGGCTAGGGTGGCCAAGTATCGGTCCTCTCTGAGAGTTGTCACCCTTGGACGACCTGAGCGTGGTCTCTCAGTCATCAATCCGGTCTGTTGGTGACGAGTGATCGCTCTGGAGATGACGCTTCGATGAACATTGAAATGGTTGGCAACAGCACTCTGGGTCTGACCCCTGCACCATTCCAACAATTTGAGCAACTTCAATTGGTGTCAAGTGACGCCTAGCCATTTCTCAAATGTTACTGTCAACAATTTGTCGTTGCTGGCAGTTTTAACGCAATCAGAACGCATGTGCGACGTGTATAGCACATGTTTTCCATGCATTTTGCATGTGAGTTTTGAGGGTGGTTGCGTTCAGGCGGTGCTAACAATGTTATCAGAAAAACAATATGGGAAATGCTTTAAGTTCATCAATCGTAAAGGGTTCTCCTGCATGGCTTATATGCCAAGTAATAACTTCATATACCCATGAAGAAAATATGTGGAAAAAAATACTTGTTGCTTAACTTTTTGTGAGGAGTATATTATAGAATATGCTGACTTTGCTAATATGGAATCTGCCAACCTTTCTATTATAGAATATGCTGACTTTGCTAATATGGAATCTGTCAATCTATTTATATGTAATTTGTCCATCTCGCTAATACGGAATCTGCTGACCTCGCTAATACGGAATCTGCTGACCTCGCTAATACGGACCTCGCTAATACGGAATCTGCTGACCTCGCAAATACAGATTCTTTTAACTTATGTTATGGCGTCTGCTCCTTCGCTTATACTACCTTGTTATTATAGAATCTGCTGACTCTGCGATTATAGAATCTGCTGACCTTGCTATTCTAGCATCTGCCCACCCTGCTAATATGGATTCTGATGATCGTGCTTATATGTATTCCACCTACCTTCTTAATGTTGAATCTGCCAGCGTGGCTACAATAGTATCTACCAGCCTTTCTGATATGGAATCTGAAGACCTTGCTAATATGGAAAATATCCTCGAGCAGTAATACCCCCTTCGTTCCCCGATCCTCCTCCTTCTCCCCCGCCTTTGTAAGAGTAGACCGGAATGAGGACTGAATGATTCCAATGTGTGTTCTCCTTGTGCAGACTAGCATATTTCCAGAAAACCGTGACAAACTAACATTTTGTTTCCTATGGCGTTAAACAACGTTATGTAACATACTTTAAAAAGTGAGGCGGTGGGTAGCCTAGTGGTTAAAGTGTCCGCTCGTCACGCCGAAGACCCGGGTTCGATTCCCCACATGGGTACAATGTGTGAAGCCCATTTCTGGTGTTCCCCCGCCGTGATATTGCTGGAATGGTGCTAAAAGCGGCCTAAAAATAAACTCACTTAAAAGTGCATCGTTTAATTACGACTGACATCCGTTAATCAAAACGACTGCGAACATTAACCGGTTGGGATTAATGACGTTGATGTGTCGACCAAGAGCCTCCTTTTTACATTTGCGCTGAGTTCCAGAATGTGTCATAAGTGTAGAAAGTGAAAAAATCCGCCCTGTTTAATCGTTGTCTATTTCAAAATCTCCCAAAATGTTGAAATCGTTGATGTCACAAATCCGAGCATATTTATAGGGGAAAGATAGCGAGATGTTGTATTTTTGTCAAAGAGTTACAGCTCCGCTACCTGACGTGCTTCTCCCGTTACTCAAGTGGCGAATTCGATAATCCGAGGTTTGTTCAAATAGTGTTGATCGCATGTAGAATTTCGATGTCTAATGTAATATGGTCCCAAGAGTCTGAGCAGACTCATCTATTGATTCAACCCGCTGTTAAAACAATGACAAAAATAGTACAGATCAAAAAACTGAAATTGAACAGTTTTAAATTGCATAACTGAGACGTTTGGAACAGTGTTACATTTTGAAGTATTTGGGTTTCGTAATGATATTGTGATTTAAGTCAGGCATGGAAGCGGAAAAATCTATTAACAAATATAACTAAAGTGAACTTTTTTATTAGGGATTGTGGGTGATACACAGCTCTGAATGAAACACAGGGGCGTTGGGGTAGCCCAGTGGTTAAAGCGTCCGCTCGTCACGACGAAGGCTCGGGTTCGATTCCCCACATGGGTACAATATGTGAAGCCCATTTCTGGTGTCCTCCGCCGTGATATTGCTGGAATATTGCTAAAAAGCGGCGTAAAACCATACTCACTCACTCACTCTAAATGAAACAGGTAGCGTCTAATGATGACGCGGATGATACCTATGGATTGCTGAAGAGGGTATTTATAGTTTGACACGGTCAGAGTTTAACCTTGTCACAGATCGTATAAAGCTTTTAACACAGGTGTTAAGGATTTATGACATATGTCAATTAGGTTGCAAGTCTTGACAACCCGTGAAGGTCCGGGTTAGAATGAACCAGTAACCCACGCTTGTCGTTAGAGACGACTAACGGGATCGGGTGGTCAGGCTCTCAGACTTGGTTGACACATGTCATCGGTTCGCAATTGCGTAGATCGATGCTCATGCTGTTGATCACTGGATTGTCTGGTCCAAACTCGATTATTTACAGACCGCCTCTATATAGCTGGAATATTGCTGAGTGCGGCGTAAAACTAAACTCACTCACTCACTTTAAGTCTTGACCTATAATATTGACCTTCTGATACCGATAATATTTCCTTTTGATACAAATTTTATACTGATTCGCGACACATTGTACTTATTTTTATAGTTATTACATATACTTTTGTTCCTGTTAGTTATTTAACATTTGACATATATGCTCTATGACGTAGACATTTAAGATTTTGGGGTGAAATGGCAGAACCGCTGATCATATGTTAAAAAACAACATGATAAGTATGTTGTTATTTTTCAATAGTGTCTGGCGGATATGGTATATTAACAGCGTTAATCTCTTGAAAGCAGAAGTGTTGATATTTACTGAAAATGTTTGTATATCCCGCTTCTTATATACAACGATTTGCCAGTGGGATGTTGTCACAAGTTAAGGCAGACAACCTTTTAACGTCAGTACTTCATACAGATATATATATTTGTAACTTTTGGAAGAAAAAACATTTTTTGAAATTACTCTCATCATCAAACGCAGTTCAAATGGATTCTCATAAAGGGGGGGGGGGCACATGGGTACAATGTGTTAAGCCCATTTCTGGTTTCCCCCGCCGTGATGTTGCTGGAATATTGCTAAAAGCGGCGTAAAACCAAACTCAGTCAGTCAGTCAGTCAGTCAGTCATAAAGGGATATTTGTTTTATGGTCGCATAGCGACACCTAAGGCACGCTTTTTCTCGGTTCGTCATAAACTACTTTATTCGGGAGAGTATTAGAGCCATAATTGTTCTTTTGCCAATACTTTAGTGTATTTTTGCAGTGTTTGTAAAATACTTTGGTTCTGTATGTTTCGTCAGAATTTAATATAGGTCATCTGTTGAAAAGCTCGTGACGCCACCTGTTCACTTTGCCACCAATATTGTCAATAGCCGGTTAACCATACACGTGTAGATAAATATTTGTTCATCTACTTGCGCTTTGAAATGACAAAGAATAGCACCAACGATCTTACAGACTAAATAGGATAGGATTATTTATCGACCAGGCGAATGATTTACGGATCCGATAATGAACCAAATACCTTATGTCAATTTTAACTCCGCTTCAGTGAACTTGAGGGGTCTTAATACTTAAAACAATTACTGGCAACATGTTTAGCCTTGGGTGTGTAGGAATAGAAACCGCTTGCTTTGATAAGGGCTTTATTCTTATTTTGATGGGAAGAAGTGAATTCACTTGTGGCAACAGACTGTAAAATCTGCTTTGTCTGATAGGATATTTACGAGCCAAATGCATGTCGATTTCTCACGCTTGTCTGTGCCATCTGCGAGGGTGGCAGATTTAATCGATAGATGATTAGGTTGTCTTTTAAAAACATGCTCTTTTCTTAAAAGTCTACTTATGTCAGACCCTAGCCTTGCTCCAAGGCTTATACTGGAGGCAATTCGTCACCTCTCGGCCCTTTCCGTAACCTACAAGAAGATCGCTATTCGGCTTGTCCCGGAATTACACGAGTGGGTCACGAATGAGTAAAGGCAAGTCCAGATAAGCGGACAGTACAAGGGCCCCAGTCTGTTATTTATTATTTTTTACAAATTATCATTAAAACTCTTAATTTTTACTTTAGAGACTTGTGCAAGTCTAGACAGACCCTGACGGTTGTCTTTAACAGAAGGTACCATTATTCCTTATATAGCATGAGAAAATTTAGAAAGGATAAGATACACAGATGAACAACACTTCTGTGCCGTTGCTCCTACTGTTATTCAGGGCCTAGATTTTCGAAGCTCTCTTAACGCTAAAGTAGTCGTAAGTTAATGTTAATGTATGGCACTTACGACTATCTTAGCGCTAAGAGAGCTTCGAAAATCTAGGCCCTAAATAACAGTAGTAGCAACGGTTCGGTGTAGGTTCCAACACTTGCTTGATAATGGCGTTAGAATGGTGGTCTATAAATAATCGAGTCTGGACCAGACAATGCAGTGATCAACAGCATGAGGATCGATCTACGCAATAGGGATACGATGACATGTCTACCAAGTCAGAGAGCCTGACGACCCGATCCCGTTAATCGCCTCTTACCCAGCCGAAAGAGATTCCATTGGGCGTGAAAAGCGAAACAGCAGTATAATTATATGGGTGGATCACAGGAAATCACTGCTGAGTGTTGGTCAAGAGGGTGATCATGTCGTGCCCGGTAACACTCGACATTCATACAACGTTTAACTTCGGAGTAACAGTATGTTTCTGTGAGAAATAGCCTTTTCTTTACAGATCGAAACAATGGCTTCGTCATAGACCCATGAATTGTGTTATATTATGTAACTATGGGACTTGAAATCCAAAGGGAGGAAATTATTTGTAATCCCGTTATTTGACCCACCCACCGGGTATAACACATGGCACAGCCCCATGGTCCTCTAGGACGTGGACTTGCTGAATACGCCCCCCAGCGCCCTTTGTACTCACCCCCGTGTGGTATCACACTCATGTTTCCAGGGGTCGTGATAAAATCACGATAAAAGGTTAATTGTCATTTAGAGAATGAGTTAAACAGATGTCGATTATCCCTTTACTTGTTTGGGGCGGTGGGGTAGCCTAGTGGTTAAAGCGTTGGCTCGTCACGCCGAAGACCCGGGTTCGATTCCCCACATGGGTACAATGTGTGAAGCCCATTTCTGGTGTCCCCCGCCGTGATGTTGCTGGAATATTGCTAAAAGCAGCGTAAAACCAAACTCAGTCAGGCTTTACTTGTTACTTTGGTCCGGTGGTGTATCCTAATGGTTAAAGCTTTCGTTCGTCACACCGAAGGACCGGGTTCGATTCCACACTTGATACAAGGTATGAAATCCATTTCTGGTGACAGTCGTAGTGCTATTGATGGAATAGGCGGCGTAAAACCATACTTACTCACTTGTTCACGGGGATGCGAGATCAGCCTGCTCTTATCTTCAAAGTGAGACACTCGCTGGCTTGGTTGACACATGTCATCGGTTCCCAATTGCGCAGATCGATGCTCATGCTGTTGATCACTGGATTGTCTGGTCAAGACTCGATTATTTACAGACCGCCGCCATATAGCTGGAATATTGCTGGGTGAGGCGTAAAACTAAACTCACTCACTCACTCAAAGTAAGACGAAGGTCTCCAAGTGGTCTAGGCACAGCGATCTGTTGTAAAAAAATGGCTATATTGGGGACTTCTAATCATTTCTAATTAACTCACTATGAAAGCATTTTGAAAAATGTGGTACATTACGTTTCGTATGCCTTCATTTTTTGCTTAGAGTGTTTGTTTGTTGTGTACCATCCCACTCAGCAATATTCCAGCTATATGGCCGCGGTCTGTCTGGGCCAGACAATCCAGTGATCAATATCATGAGCATCGATCTACGCAATTGGATTACGATGACATGTGTCAACCAGTCAGCGACCCTGACCACCCGATCCCGCTAGTCGCCTCTTACGGCAAGCATGGGTTGCTGAAGATCAATTCCAACCACAATCTTCACGGGAGGGCCAGGGAGTAATAACGTTCGGTTCTGTTCTGAAACAAACAGCACAGCATGGACAAGATTCAGTTGATCTGTACATTATGTATGCAACATAAACTAAACTTTTTCAATTTGTAACTTTCAGTCGATGAGTATTTGGTTTATGATTATCTACATTCTGCTTCAAGGTTTTTATACAAATGCGAAGTTGGAAGAATGGCAAAATATAATTCTTACGGGGTTCCCACAAGACCTGGAAAACCTGGAAATTTCACACCCCATTTCCTGTCTTGGAAAAATCATGGAACAATCGTGGAATATTCTTAGTTTTTTATGTAACAAAAGTGTACTTCTTAACATCATCACTATCGCAGCCATAAACATATTGGATATGTGTCAATAAAGATAGTTAAAGAGTAAAAGAAAAATGTCTTCACTGGATGTTTCATTTTATGCCATCTTATCATAAAGAGGTGTGAATAAAGAGGATTCCGTATTTAAGATATTGTTTTATTTCAGACACAGTATTCGTCACGATATGGGTGAGATATTGCCGATGTGACGTTACATATTAACTCACTCACTCACTCAGACACAGTAATATATGTTTAAAAGTATCAAAATACCCTACGACATATAATGTGTGTCTGGAAAAAAGCAATATTTGTCTTGAAAAACCATGAAAATATTTTTCACAAAAATGTGGGAACCCTGTCCTTTTCTTGAAAACCTTTTTTAGCTTTTATTGTCATAGTGGTTCAAAAATAGTCTCATAATTCGATATCTGCCAGTCTGCCGTACAAAGGAAGACGTGTGCTCGACCCCTGTCCTATTACACGCTTCAAGTGTCACGAAGATTAGGTTTATTAATCGACAGGGGCGAAATACAGACCCTTGGAATGCAAGTCCTAACCTCTGACCATTGACACGCACGTGCGTTTTTGCCCACGAGGGACCCGATCCTCCAATCATCGTATCAGTTAGCACGGATCGTGTTGTCCATTGCAATCAGTGTTCATCATTGCTCATTACACCTGTCAATCAACCTGTCACGGCCGGGATAAACCAATGGTTGTATATATACCTGCCAGACCCTATCAGATTACCTGGTTTATCAGAATAAGTAGCAATATATCTCACGGAGGATTCTGGATGACCTGTCCCTGGAATGTTATAGCGGTACATTTGGTAGACCCTGTGGACGGGAACGTTTAGGTATTGTTTGTGACTTAGTGAGGCGCTAGTTTAAGGGCATTTGAGTGTCATATCATGTTTGTATCCGGTCATTTAAAGCTTTCTTGTCAGACAGAACCATGTAGATCAACCGTCGATGGCTCTCTAATTATCTTGCAGAGTTGTGCCCCTTTGGCGTGTCAGGAACCAATTATGGGTTCGAAATCGAGTCCACCCGATTATGCTTCTAGGATTGTCAGCACCATACCCATTTTACCAAATTGGTAAACATCTTAAACCAGCTCACTTTGGACTTCCTCCCGCAGTGAACTGAGGTGAGGTGAGATTGGGTTTAACGTCGTGCTTAAGAATATTTCGCTCATATGACGACGTGCATGCGTGTGTATGTGTATGTGCGGCTGCTTGTACTAACCCAGACTGAAGCTGGTTTTATAGTGCTAGCCCACTGAGATACTATGCCGCAGTGAAGCATGAATACCCACTCAAACACATTATACTGACTCCGAGCCGACCAGTCCTTGTTTTAACCCATTAATGCAGCGTGGACCAACAAGTACCATATTTTAACGTCTTTGGTATGACGCGGTCGGGGATCGAACCCCGACCTTCCGCTCTCCGGGCGGACGCTCTAACTACTACACCACGGAGGCAGTCGCAGTGAACTGACACACCGTGACGTAACTGTTTCAATATGAGCATACCACCCATGAAGATCCGGGTTAGAGCTGGTCTTCAGCAACTTATTCTTGTCGTAAGAGGCGACTAACGGGATCGGATGGTCAGGCTCA